TTCACTGATGAAATAAAGACCATGACCAGCACAGGATTAGAAAGCACAGGGCTGCATGAGCAGAGAAGAAATAAAGTATTTAAGGATGCTGTTAATTTGGAAAGAAGAAAACATTCTTAGGGCAATGAAACTGCAGCTCTCAAAATGTGTGCAGAAAGAAGCAGCTTATTTTTAACCTCTGAAAGTTCGAAAGGCAATTAAAGAAGCCCTGTTCCCTCTTAGCTCAGGGAAGAGTCCTCCAGGACACCCTGTTTGGTTCTGGAGGCCAGGGCTTCTCTCAGGCAATCTGCTGCTGGTACTCTGCTGGTTTGGCAGCTTTCACTCTCCTGTGGGAACAACATGTCCATAGGATAAGAGCACCAGGTCCCTCCAGCTGGGAAATGGAGGACAGTCTCTTGGCAGAGATGCCAACCTCTGTGGTTTGATTTTGGCATGCTACCTCTTGCTTAGAGAGAGGGTGGACAAGAAGAGCATTCCTCATGGGATTGGGACCAGAAAAATCCCAGCAACTGGGTAGTTCCTCTTGAGATCTGACACCACTTGTCCAAGGGAACAGCTGACAGTCACACACCCTGTAACTGCCTGAGGAGAAGGATATGTACATATTTTTCCTCATGGACTGATTCCAGGTCTACAGTGTGTCTGTAGCATGGGAAGGAGAGAACACTTCAATTATAGCATTCGTTCTTCAGTGTACTTTTCCCAGAACAGAAAGTACTAATAGTTAAATCTATTTCATACATGGCAAGCAAGCAACTAAGAAAGCAAAATGAAAAAGAAAAACAAACAAACAAAACAAAACAAAAAAAAACCCCAAACAACCAAACAAATAAGAATCCACAGCATGAAGTTGAAGAAATACAGCTTGATTTGAGGATTTTTAGAACCCAGGAGATACGAATTATAGAAATAAATTAGAAGTAGTATTAGGGTGAATGCTGGAGAAAAAAAATCTGAATAAAAGGTTAGCAGCTAAATACCTTGAAAGGGAAGTGCTGCAAACCTAACTGCTACAACAATACACTAATGCACTGTGGAGAAGACTTTTGTGTGGGCTGGCATATGAGTCAAGTGATCTGCTAGCATTTTTCATCTCTCATGTCTTATCAATTTCTTGAAGATAGGATCAGGATGAAAGCAGGTATGAAATATGATGGAAGTTCCATGTCATGTTATCTAATTAACATTCTACAATGTAACAGAGGGATGTTTGCTCTTATGTACATTTTGTATATGTAATTGTATGTACAGCATATAAGAATGTATATAGTTAATAATATTTTTTAAACAACTTTCTATCAAATAAAATGAAACATTACTATGTCTTGGTTCTATTTTATCATCCTTGCTGCCTTTCAGGCCTTTTCTTACATCACCCTCTGTTGTACACACTAACATGTAAAGTTGCTTTTTTTTTCCTCTTGCTCACTTTTTTTTTCTCTTTTTCCTTAGTAACTGTTCTGAAGCCAGCTTCTGTAAAGCAAAGGCTCTCTAATGTTCAGGTTGTCACAGCTGAAACTGCACAGCTGCAGTGGTTTAGGTATTTGGGAGGTGTAGAAGCACTTGGGCAGGTACATGGAGCCAAGGATGGGCAGCTGCTCTCCCTGAAGCTGGTGCAGTGCTGCAGATCACGCTGTAACGTGCTTTTCTATTCTGCTGACTTGGTAAGTTGGCAAAGGAAAACCAGGGGAGCTTTCACATCCTGTGTCCACCCTGACTTTGCTGTGAGGTTTGGACTTCAAGGTCTTCACTCATGAAGAGCAGACCATGAGTACCCCGTGCTCTCCTAGTTTTGTCTGCTCCTACCTTCAGAAAAAAAAAAAAAAAAAAAAAAAAAAAAAAAAAATTAAAAAAAATTACTATGCTCTTACTGAGTTAGACAGTGAATGTGCCTTGCAGGTGACCCACCAGCCAGGTCCAGCAAGCAACATCTTTTCTGTTCTCTGTGAAACAAACTCTGTATAAGAATGTTACTAAGCTGACCCAAACTGGGAAGCCTGTGCTTTCCTAGGAATTAGCTGAAATAAACTCATTTTGGAATTCAGAGTTTTATTAGCATATTGGAAATGCTGACTGATTGCATGGCAATTCCCTTACTACCTTTTTTTTTTCCTAGGTGTTGTTTTGGATGGGTCATTGTAAGAGTAAACACTTACATGAATTATTGAAAAATTCATATTCAAATCAGTGTAATTTTCATAGGGTACCAGAGTTCAGAAAAATAATGCCACCTTGCTGTTCTAGTAACTTTTTACTATTGCGCTTCATGCCTGTTCTTGAGAATCAAAAGTAATTTATTTGCATGACCATGGGACTCTGCTTTTAGATTACCATCTGCTAGAGAGAGATGAATCTACCTCACTAAGCAGGGCAAAGCTATTTTCACCAGTAGAATGGGTGACCGCATAGGGAGGGCTTTAAACTAAGAATGGAGAGGGAGAGTAATCAGCAGCCTTGTGAGGGTGTGATGGACGTGGTCAAAGAGCAAAGGGCATGGGGTGACATGGCAGGAATGGACACAAAATCAACAAGATGGGGCTTCAGTGGGGTCATGTCTAGTGCTTGCATGTAAGCAAGGAAACACCTACAAGGCATTGTGATGGAGACTGCCTTTCTAGGCAGTCAACGTGCTGGGATACCTCTCTAAAGTGCCTGCATACTAATGGATACATGGAGAATAAACTTGATGAGCTAGACTGTGTGCAGCTGCAGGGCTACGACCTTTTTGGGATCACAGACATGGTGGGATGGGACCAATGGCTGGAGTTTAAAAATTAAGGGAGACAGGCTCTTGAGAAAGGACACACTAGGAAAACAAGGACAGGAAGTTGCCCTTTATGTGAAAGAGCAGTTGGAATGTATTGAGCTCTACCTGGGGATGGTGGAGTAGTTAAGAGAAGAAAGGCAAAGGTGACAATGGGTGTCCTACTGCCTGACCAGAAAGAACAAGCAGATGAAGTAGATAGGAGCAGCCTCATGTTCACAAGCCCTGGTGCTTGTGGGGGACTTCAACCACCCAGATGTTTGCTGGAAGGACAACACAGCAGCCCTTGTCTTTCAGGAAAGTGAGATTGCTTTGTGGAATACCACCTGGCTCCCTTTTTTGTGCAGAACTCAATACTAAAGGAAGTATCTCAACTTTGTGTGTGGATTTGCTTTTTGCACACTGGGTGATGGACCCCACTTTTTGGGACAACAGAACTACACATCCATCAGCCTCTCCCTGATCTCTGGGAAAGTGGTGGGTCAGCTAACCCTTGAAATGATTTGCAGGCACTTCAGCTACAACAAGATCATCAGGAGTCATCAGTTTGGTATCACCAAGGGGGGAAGTCATGCTTGACCAACTTGTTAAACTTCTATGATAAAATTATTGGCCTGGAAGATGAGGGGATAGCGATGGATACTGTCAATCTGAACTTCACAGAATCATGGAATGTATTGCATTGGAAGGTCATGAAGTCCGTGTAGTCCCTAAAATAAGTAGGGATATCTCCAACTAGACCATATTGCTCGGAGCCCAATCCAGCCTGACCATTAATGTCTCCAGGGATGAGGCCTCCACCACCTCTCTTGGCAACCTGTTCCAGTGATTCACCACACTCATCATAAAGAGCTTCTTCCTAATGTCCAAACTAAATCTATCCTGCTCCAGCTTGAAACCATTCCTCCTTGTCCTATCATTACATGCCCTAGTGAGCAGCTCTTCCCCAGCCTTCTTATAGGCCCCTTTCAGGAATTGGAAGGTGACTGTAAGATCCCCCTGGAGTCTTTTCTCCAGGCTGAACAGTCCCAACACCCTCAGCCTGTCTTCACACGAGAGGTGCTCCAGCCCTCCGACCGTGTCCGCTGCCCCCTTCGGACACACGCTCCAACAGGGCCGCCCCTTTTCTGTGCCGGGGGCTCCGGCGTCCGTGAGATCCCCACAGAGAAGGGCAGGGCTGGGCAAGCCGG